CTTCTTTCAGTCTTCCCGTTCCATTTTTAAGAGTAGAAAGGCAACGCGGGAAATAGATCGAGGGGCCAACCTCTGTGCTCTTAGGCTGATCTCTGTCTCCCCTGCTCTAGCTCAGATTCCAGATAGACTGAGCAGGGCGGAGGCAGTGAATGCAGTTTAGACCAGATGGTGGTCTGTATAGAGCTTCCCTTCAGAAAAGGGTGACAGACTGAAAGGAAAGTAAGGTAAGGATGGAGTGGAGGGAAGATCACGGCACGAGGAAATCCCCACCCTCGTCATCGTTACCAAGAACCTGTGGGCCTTCAGCTCTGTCTGGGTGCTGGGCAAGGTGAACAAATCCCTGAATCTGGCTGTTGCTGGCTTAGGAAGGCACCGTGTGTAGTAATAAAGCATTCCTTAGAGAGTGGGCCACAGCTCACAAATTGTAGATGGTATTGTGTGAGGGGCCTGGCAGTTGGGGCGGTGGTGGTATTGGTAGAGATTTTCTTGGTTTGGGCTTTCCATTTTTTCCTTCCAGATTACATGTTCATCATGCCTGACAAGACACCATAGCTAGCAGCTCTGTCAGCAGGAGGGGTTTGTTGCACTTCATCTTCTCCCCAGGCTGTCTGGGGCTAGAAGCGAGAGAGTCCAAGAGGGTGAGAAGAACCTGGGCCGGAGAAGAATCCTAAAGAGAGAGTGACGTTTTAGGCACATGTGCTGCAAGCGTGAGTTTGTGGCTTTTCCCTTCCAGGCTGGAAAAGAGTGAGGGAGCTGACGCTCTGTAGTCCTAGCCAGCAGAAGTCACTTTCTAACCGCTGTTTCCCTTATAGACCTGAAGTTTATCTCACTTTTCCCAGTTTATGCAAGTCCTGAGTCTCACAACTCTGGGACTGACTGCGAGGGTCTTCTTGTGGCTGTTCTGTGCCTCAGGTTCATAGTGCCTATCAGAGTCTGTTTCTCCAGCTGCTACAATTTGACTTGGAAGTTTCAGCCTCCTTGTCTTCTGCTCACCAGCTCCCTCAGGTCTGTCTGACTCACCGACTCATCCTCATCTGGTGCTCATTTTTAGCTTCCCATATTTGAGCCTGCTTCCCAGCATTGCCAGGTAGCGTTTGGTAAGTTGTAGCCTTGTCAATTTGTATAAATTGACAAACTTATGCTTGGCTACATGCCGAAATTCATTTTGCACCCACAATACATGCATGAGACACTAAACCACCATCGAGGAGAGTGAAGAGGACATCCTCACCATGATGCAGTGTGAAGTCCTGGCCCCATCGAGGGGTTCATAATGTTTATGCACAGCAGTCAAACTCCATCTTGTAAGACATGTCAGGTGACTGGGATTTGCTGTTGTGGTACACTGGTCTAGGACAGATTGCCGGATGCGAGGTGGCTTTGAAAAGCTGGAGTCACAGGCGTTGTTGGCTCCAGAGAGCTGCAGGTAGGGCAGACCAGCTTACTCTGCGTACGTGATGGAGAAACTGAGCTCACACGAACTCTAGCTGGATGTGTCTTGTTCTAGGCTTCCCCACACCCCTTGGAGGATGTAAAGATTTTGGTTTGAAAGACCTTGCCCCCACCCTCAGATTGCTTAGCTAAAACCTTATACTCATCATTCACCTCTGCAGGAGTTGCAGAAATATGTGTGGCTTGAGGTGAAGGGAGACCTTGGGTCACTTGATCCCCTGCAGAGGACCTGATCAGGCCATCACAGCCACCTCCCTCTGGTGACCCTCTGCTGTAAACAGGGACAGGAATTCTTGCTGCCAAATCCCTTCCATCAGGCGTCTTAGGCTCGCTGAATGAAAAGCCCTATAAAAAGGAGATGGAGCCCTAATAATAACAAGCTCGACCGTGCTGGCTATTTTGGGTGGGAGCAGCTTTGTGCCGCTCTTGATCTCCATCGATGTCTGCCATTCTTGCCCTCCTGTTACCTTTCAGGCTTCCTATTCTTAGCATCGTTTGTGAGCCCTGGGCTTGGGGGATTGCAGCCCCCAGGGCTGGAACGCCCAGCGTGAGTGGCATGCAGACTGTCTGGCAGAGCAGAGGGTAAATAAAGTTTGCCTTGGCAGCCCCCCTGCTGTTGGACAGGTGACAGGGAACACGGGTGTAGAGCCATGGGTGAGCTGCCATGTGCTGTAGTACCAGAGTCTTCTGTGCATGTGTAGAGGGGGCCCGTGGCCACCTAGGGTCAGCGTGGCCCTGCCGGTCTTAAATGAGTCGTGTAGTAAGGAGGCCTCGATGGTCTTGAACTTTGAGGGTGACCACATTACTCTGGAAGACTCAGACAAGTAAAGAACAATGTCCAAGTGCCTTCCAGGTTTTCATCTAAACTCCACGTTGGGCATCTCTGCCTCCTTGGAGTCAGGGCGGTTTGTGTTGTAATAGGGACAGTTGTCAGTAGTCAATGTTTCTGAACACCCAGACTCCGTGGGAATTTATAAAAGTACAGGACAGATTCCTGCGGCTCTTGTAGTTTAGTCGGAGAAGTAAAGCTGAGAAGTTCCAGATCAAGGTGCCAGTAGATTCGGTGACTGGCAGGGACCAGCTTCCCTTCATAGACTGCTGTCTTCTCCGTGTCCTCCCAGGATGGAAGGGGTGAGCTCTCCGAGACCCCGTCCATAGGGGTACTAATCCATTTGTGAGGGCTCTGCCCCACAACCTGGTCACCCCCACACCTTCTGCCTCCTTTCCCCTTCACTCTGGGGTTAAGGATGTTGACTCCTAACTGGGGTGAGGGCCCAGAATGCAGATCTCTGTCTTGCAGGGTGCCTGAGCCACTCTCTCCTACCGCAGGTGGCTGGAGGTGCAGGTGGCTAACCTTACGTGTCCGCAGCGCTGGGTGCAGTACCTAAGGCTTCTTCGGGAATCCATCTGGCCTGGTGGAGTTTTACCTAAGTCTCCTCGGCCTGTGAGGACCCACGACCAGAAGGTGGCTACTGAGAAACAGGCTTTGCAGAGCCTGCTGGGAGTCCTGCCAGGTAACTGGAACGAACGAGCTCTTCTGATGGCTCTTCCTCTCCCGTCCGACTTTGCCACCCTTAACCCACACCCTTTCCCATTCTTAAGAGGTCCCTGAATGTGTGTGTTGAGACTCAAAACCTGATGAGCCTCCATTTCTCAAGCTGAGAGGGAAATGACCAGGGCTGCAATTCTTTGATCCCTTAGTGGGGTGACGCTGAGAGCGGCGGGGCCG